GTTTCTCAATTTATCTTTTAGTTTATCTCATATATATTGGATACAAATAGTATCAAAACTATAAGAGAATGTTTTTCTAAAAATAAAATTTTTCTCAAAAATTTTATTATAGTTAATAAATTTCATATATATTTTATATTTTATTTTTCATGTCGTTTATAGACTAATTTAACCAACATTACGTTATATATTATACTTTTAGGCGCAACCAACTATTGAAACTGTTGAAAAAACTTTGCGAATACTTTTGAAACACTGTAAAAGTTATTTATAGAGAAGATATTTATCAAAATGGAGGGAGAATCCACGGAGTCAACACACAATACCAAAGTATCCGATTCGGCATACTCCAACAGCTGCAGCAACAGTCAGTCACAGCGCAGGTGAGTTGAGTGGAGCGATCCAGGTGTTTCCTGAGCATCCTAAGCTGATGCTATCTATTCCGATTCCCCGTATCTACAGTGGCAGCTCGAAGTCGCGTTTAAGTGGCAGCCACTCCTCCGGCAGCAGTGGCTATGGGGGTAAACCCTCGACCCAGGCCAGCAGCAGCGACATGATCATCAAGCGGAACAAGGAGAAGTCCCGCAAGAAGAAGAAGGCCAAATGCACGGCACAAACGTCGACAGTGACATCGCTGGAGAACAACGATGAGCAGCTGGTGCCACAGCCGTGCAGCTCGGTCAGCTGTGAGCAGCTCCAGGAGCTGCAGGACACACAAAAGTTCTGTGAGCCGCCGGCATGCGACCAGAAGAAGCTGAGCGAACAGCTGCTCGCCGTGGATGACAGTGAGCCGACTAAGAGCAAACAGAGCGACCAGGCCCAACAGCTGCCCACCGTGGCGCCCCTCTCCGCCAGCTGCAGCCTGCAGCCGGGCAGCGTTCCGATCGCGTCGAGCCATGGCCAGGCCAGCGGCAGTGGCGGCGGTGTGAAGCCGGACAAGGCATACGAAGCGCTGCCGAGCAAACTGGAGACGATGGCCGCTGGCGTGGGCAAGCAACAGCATCCAGAGAGGGTGAAGGAGGAGAGCTTCTGCTGTGTTATCTCCATGCACGACGGAGTTGTGCTCTACACGACGCCCAGCATTACGGACGTGCTGGGCTTTCCGCGCGACATGTGGCTAGGTCGTTCGTTCATCGATTTTGTGCACCTGAAGGATCGGGCAACATTTGCCAGCCAAATCACGACCGGCATACCCATAGCCGAGTCGCGTGGCAGCGTGCCCAAGGATGCGAGATGCACCTTCTGCGTCATGCTGCGACGTTATCGCGGCCTCACCTCGGGCGGCTTCGGTGTGATCGGGCGAGCCGTCAACTATGAGCCCTTCCGCTTGGGCTTGACATTCAGGGAGGCACCGGAGGAGGCCCGGCCGGACAACTATATGGTATCGAATGGCGCCAACATGTTGCTCGTCATCTCAGCGACGCCCATCAGGAGCAGCTACAAAGGTGAGCTAAGAATTCATTTTGGATCGCCAATCCACTTATACACCTCCTCGTTTCCCGTTCCTCCTGCCTTCAGTACCCGATGAGATCCTCTCGCCGAAAAGTCCCAAGTTCGCCATTCGACACACGGCCACGGCGATTATCTCGCATGTGGACAACGCTTCGGTCAGTGCGCTCGGGTACTTGCCACAGGATCTGATTGGACGCTCCATTATGGATTTCTATCATCACGAGGACCTGGCGATCATGAAGGACACCTACGAGAAGGTCATGAAGAAGGGACAGACCGCTGGCTCCTCGTTCTGCAGCAAACCCTATCGCTTTCTCATCCAAAACGGCTGCTACATCCTCCTCGAGACGGAATGGACGAGCTTCGTGAATCCCTGGTCACGGAAACTGGAGTTTGTGGTGGGCCATCATCGTGTGTTTCAGGGTAAGTCCCGGAGTCAGTCGAACTCCACTGAAAGCACATTGAAATAGATCAAGACCAATTATTTTCTCCATTTATCCTCCCCCCCCCCCCCCCCCCCTGTTCGCAGGTCCCAAGCATTGCAATGTATTTGAGATGGCGCCAAATACAAAGCCAAAAATATCGGAGGACGCACAGAATCGTAACGCGCGCATCAAGGAGGATATTGTTAAGCTGCTGGCCGAGACGGTGTCCCGTCCATCGGACACCGTTAAGCAGGAGGTATCGCGTCGCTGCCAAGCGCTGGCTAGCTTCATGGAAACGCTGATGGATGAGGTGACGCGTGCCGATCTCAAACTGGAGCTACCCCATGAGAACGAATTGACGGTGTCGGAGCGTGATAGCGTGATGCTTGGCGAAATATCGCCGCATCATGACTACTATGACAGTAAGAGATCCACTGAGACGCCGCCCACCTACAATCGGCTTAACTATAACGAGAACCTGCTGCGTTTTTTTAACAGCAAGCCTGTGACCGCGCCCGTGGAGCTCGATCCGCCAAAATTGGAATCATCCTATATGAGTAGCGCCCGGGAAGATGCGCGCAGCACCCTTAGTCCCGTACACGGATTCGAGGGTAGCGGCGGCAGCGGCTCATCCGGCAACTTCACAACCGGCAGCAATGTCCGGATGAGCAGTGTCACAAACACTAGCAATGCCGGCACCGGCACCTCGGCCGGTGACAATTCCGCCGGCGGCGGCAATGGTAGCGGCAACAGCAACAGTGCCCCGGCCGTCACAGTGACCCTAACCGAGTCGCTGCTGAACAAGCACAACGACGAAATGGAAAAGTTCATGCTGAAGAAGCACCGCGAGCTGCGCGGCCGCAACGGTGAGAAGAGCAAGAAATCGGCCAACGAAAAGATGCTCGAGTACACGGGACCGGGTCATGGGCATGGCATGAAACGCGGCGGTTCTCATTCGTGGGAGGGCGAGGCGAACAAGCCCAAACAGCAGCTGACGTTGCCCACCAATGTGGGCGTCGGTGTGGGCGTGGGCGTGGGCGTTGGCGTCGGCGTCGGCGTACCCGTGCCGGACACCCTCTCCAAATGGCAAACGCCGAACGCGCCGACCACCCAGTACGTGGCGAACAACCTGAACTGTGCCCAGAACATCAACTTGTGGCCGCCGTTCTCGCTGGGCATCACCACGCCCTCGGCGCACAGCAGCCACACGGCCGTGGCACAGCGCAGCTTCTCGCCCCAGCACAGTCTCTTCCCCGCCTTCTACTACATACCGGCCCCGCTGGCCAACGCCACGCCGGCGGCGCCCAGCGTCAGTCCGCAGCGCAGTCACAAGAGCTGCGAGCAGCCGAGCACCTCGCAGCAGGCCGCCGCAGCGACGGCGATGCCGTTGCAGTACATGGCCGGTGTTATGTACCCGCATCCGTCGCTCTTCTACACGCATCCGGCGGCGGCTGCGGCCACAGCCATGATGTACCAGCCGATGCCATTCTCCAGTGTCACCAACACGATGCAGCTGGCGGACCGCTCCAGTGGCTCACAGTCTAGCTACAACAAGCCTGTCTATGCGGTAGGTCTTCGTCACTCGGCCATTATTGATCACAATTGCAGCGGAATTTATTCCAAATCTCTGAATCCCTTGCAGTCCCAGCAATCGCCACCTTCGTCGTCAAACAAGACACCGGGCGCCTTCCACTCGGTGACACCCTCTCAGCAGCAGAAGGCCTCGTCGCAGGCGACTTCCGTGAAGGCGGAGCCCGGCTCAAATCTGGCGCCATCGGATTCGTCCAAGAAGGGCATACCCGACTCGCCGATGGCCTCGGTCACCGGCGAAGGCTACTCCTCAGATCAGCCCAGCAACCCGCTCATTCTGAAGGTACCACCATCTCCTCCGCCTCTACACATACCACAAATGCAACTGGGCTAACCCATGCTCTATCTTTACCGTTTCTAGCAAAAGTACACGGACAGTAATGGCAACAGCGATGACATGGATGGCTCCAGTTTCTCCTCGTTCTACTCGTCCTTTATCAAGACAACGGATGGCTCGGACAGTCCGCCCGACAATGACAAGGAGACCAAACACCGTAAACTCAAGGTAGGCTCCGGAAGAATTCGGGAATACCTTGTAATATAAGGTTACCCTGTAGCTTTAAATGGAGAAATGTCTTTGAATCTTAAGATTAATTATAAATGAAGGCTCTGTAATATTCCCAATGTACGACAGGGGAGCCTGAGGATGGCTGGTAGAGCTAGGGATTTATAGTACTTGAAGGGAATCTAGCAGAATATCGAATATACCCACTAAGCACTCTTAACTGTTTACAGGATACACGAAAAGCATAGAAACTAACGTTCATTTCCATTCTGCAGTCCGTCATGCAGTCGGATAACAAAATCGTGGAGCATCCGGAGGAGGATCAGACCCAACACGGCGACGGATAACAGATGACGGCGCAGCTACAGCTGTGCCCATTGCTCCAAACCAGCTGCAGTGTTTGACCTAGCTGCATTCTTGGTCCAGAGTCGCCCATAAACTCAACGCCAATAGAATGTGCGAGCATTACTTAGGTGGGTAACAGCTCCCGGGTTTCTCTCGCTCATTCTCTCTCTTATACTCGCTCTTTCAGAGTTGCCCAAATGCACACACACACATATAGATATATGCATGTGCGTATGTGTGTGTGGGTGTACGTGTTTGTGTCTGTGTTTGTGTATCGCTTGAACTTCACCTGTGCCGGGAAGGAGTCGCAGAGATGTCACGATGCAAAGATCTCAGATCGAGGATACAATAGCTCAAGGGAAGCAAAAGTGCTCGACTGGGCTGATACCCTAGAACCATAAGCTCCTGCTCAAAACACATTCACATCCACAAACTCTATATTTATTTATATATAAACATTATGCTTAAGGCTGTGCTTCTTAACTTAGCTCCACATTTTGGAAAAGTTCCTTAGTTTTCTATCTAAAATATATACATTTTCTCGGAGCTAAAATATACGCAAGGTTCATACCTTATAAAACCTAAGTATAAAAGCTTTTGCATTCGGAATGTGGGAAGAAAGGATTAAAGTAATCCGCACATCGATAATTATCGATTGATTAATGGAAGATATATGGATGTGGTTCAGGCTGTATTTTGAATGCCTTGAGACTTAAATATATTGATACACAGATTAGATAGCCCTAGGGTCTACCCAACAACTTCCAGACTGTCTACAAGCTAACTGCTAATCGACTATCGATCACAGTAAATCCCATATAGAATATAGTATAGCTCCATAAAGAAGATCTTATTCTTTTAGAAAGAACTCATCGTATGGTATTTTGTCGAAAAGCATTTGTAAGACAGTTCTACAGGCTCGATCGGCGGCTTCCAATATCTTCGGCTGTATGTCCGCTGATAGAGCGCTCCACTCATCATTGAGAACCTTCAAGGTGCTGTCGCGCAGATCCGCATTATCGTCGAACAGATTGGACATGTTAAACGATCCGCTAAAGGAATACAAATTGTAAATTATATTGATGGTATGATATAAGAACTATCCAAATAATCAGTAAGAAATTTTGGTGAGTATAGCTCCAGGTAGCTCTATAAGAGACTCAACATGATGAGAATATCTATAGCTCTACTTCCTCAATATATTATATTACTAAAGTCTAACAGCTATGCCCTTCTAACATGGGGAAATCCTCTCCATTTAATCGATACTCACGAGCTCACTTTGGCGACCGTTCTATAGTCGGTGATCTTCAGATAGGAATGTCCGTCCTGCCGATTCTCCGGCAGAGCAGTGATTCGAGTTCTGGACTGCATTTGGCTTAGATTAATGACCATCGTGCCTTTGCTGACAATGGGCAGGATCAGTAGCTTGCCGTCCACTTCGTAGTTGGCCCGGACTTCAATGTCGGGCGAACTGACGATCCAAATCAATTTCAGCGGCTTGGTCAGATCCGCAGAGAAGCCCTTCAAGCTCTTGAGGGTCGCTCTGTCGGAAAAGTGATGCAGCGTCGTGTTCCGCATAATCAGATTGAACTGCATTGAGTCGCTAGCACCGCCACTCTTGATGCGCAACGTGCCCAGCTGCAGGGGCTCTACGCTGGGTATGTTCCAGGCGGGTATGCCGTACTTGAAGGCACGGAAATAGATTTTCGCCTGCTCCATAATGCAAGCCTCGTCGTGCAGAGTGCAGTGACTCATCGGGCTAGCTGCAAGCAGTTTGTGCAAGGAACTTTACAAGGAGGAACTTTACAGCCAACTGGCAAAACGAAGCACGAAACTTACGCAAAATCACAGCACCGACCGCTGCCCCAAGAGCAACCGCAACTGTTAACCAAATGAAATGCTTTCCGTTCGACATTCTCCGTGTTCGCCTTTAGATCTGTGACTAAATCGTCGCGAATGCGTGCGATTCGTTTTTATAACTGACCGAGCCACTACCAGCTCGGCTGGAGCTCAGTTCGGGTGAGGTGTGAACGTGTTAATCTCCAGTTGCCATTAGCCAGGCAAATATAGAATTAATCGCAGCAAGTTGAACTCTGAACCTCTACGGTCATTAGCTACTCCCAATTGCCTAATAGTTGGACGGGTGCTTAAAGCGACAAAAAAAAAAAACAAATGCCTGAAATTCTCTTTGAATAATTATTATTAACTGCAATTAATAGAGCGACGTCAAATGTTGAATTGCATTTTTTGCGAAAACTTGCATTTTATTTCTTTTTCTATATTCCCGATTTATTTCTCCTATCTGCCTATATCTCTCTACATATTGTGTAATTCTATATACATTTTACCAACCATCACTCCCTCAATATTTCGCTCTGCATCAATTCAATCTCTCTCAGTATCTTGATCTCTCTGTATATCTCTGCCTCTCATTTCTCTCCCCCAATGTAGCACTGTCTATATATATGTAAAATATCCCCCATCTCTCTCACCTGCTCTTGCACTCTATCTCAGCATCGCTATTTCTTTGTCTATCTCGATTGCATTCTGTCTCTTAATAGACTTTCTTTCTCTGTCTCTCTCCTTCTCTTTCTCTCTCTATCTCTCTGTTGCCAGCTCTCATTCTCCCTCTATCTCGTTTGCTATCTCTCTCTTAACATACTTTCTCTCTCTCCCTCTCCATCTCTCTCTCTCTATTAATATATCTTACTCTCTCTTTCTCTAAATATATCCTCTATCTCTATATCTCTCAATACATCTTTCTCTCTTACTCACTCTTAATGTAACTTTCTCTCGCCTTCTCTTAATATATTTTGTCTTTCTATCTCACTTCCTCTCTCGAGCATTATATCTCTTCTAATAGTCCTCTTTATTTATTGTTCTTCTAGTATCTCTCTCAAATCAATCTATCTCTCTATCTCCCACTCTCTCTCTCTCTCTCCCCCCCCCCCTCTCTCTCTCTCTCTCTCTCTCTGCCTTTCACTCGCTATCTCTTCCTTTGTTTCTCGCCCTCTATTTATCGCTTTCTCTGTTTCTGAACAAATTTTACTGGGCATCTCTTAGTCTATCATACACCATATACAATAGTTGGCGGCTTTGTTGCGCACTTCACTGGTGTTAAGCACATATCACTTATTAGAGGTTAAATGGCAAGGCACTAGACATTGTCATCGCAAATACAACTGAAATCTTACCTGTCGGAGGCCTATAGCATATATAGTATATACCATATTTACCAGGTACTTCCCATACGCCATTTGGGCAATGCTTAGCTTCCATTTATACAGTAGATAATTGCTCTAATAGAACGTAATTAAAGCAGGAATTTATAATTATATTACATATACCTAGCCTCAAAAAAATTCATTGAATTTAGGTTAAGGTGAATTGCTTTTTTATTGAAGCTTTATAGAAATAGATAGACGAATAGATGACAGAAAGTCAGTAAGTGATCATAGAGATAAGAAAACTTAGATAGAACATATACCTACTCCTAATTTAGAATCATTTCTCAATATTTGGAATTGACTTAGATAATAATGTTACAAAAACTTAAAGAACTCGAATTGCCCTCCAGACCCTACGGTGTAGGATGGACCTATCACACTAATTTCGCTTAAGCTTTATAGCACTAAATATAATAATAATCTCATCAGATGAAAAATTGACTCTTTAAATATTTCACATAAAAAATAAAAAATTTATTCAGGAAATTGGCTAAGAAAAACAAAAATTTGTATCTAAAATATTAAGGCATTGTTGAAATTGTTGTCTGAGAGTTGCTCAACAGGTGCAAAGGTGCTGCCGAGCAGTGGATACAAAGTGAGTAACCGCTTGAAGCGGACGGGCTATTAAGAAGTGCAAACAGTTAAATGGGATTTATGGGGATTATGTTATGAGCAATTGAAAGCCTAATTGCTGAATCAATTAAAAATATAAACAGCTTTATTTACATTTATCGAACTTGAACCGGCTTCAACCGTCTAACGAGTGGATAGATAGGCTGGTCTCTTGAATTATGTTTGATAAGAGAGATGAAGCAAGAAGAGCAGCTACAGCAGTTAGAGGAGGAGGAGGAGGAGGAGGGGGAGCAGGAAGAGGAAGAGGCGTAGGCGACACAGTTGTTAAGCGTCGTCGTTCGTTTTCGGCTTGACGATTGTCCCTGGGGTGAAGCATCTTAAGATTGTGACTGATCCGTGCCAAGATTCTTTAGCGTTTGCTCAAACTCCACCGAGTCCACCTGACGTTTGGTTGGATCAAAGGGTGGCGGACCGATCAGATTTACCACTTCATCATAATCGAGCGTCTCCTTATCCAACAATGCCTCTGCCAGCTGCCAAGAGCGATAGCGACGAAAGAGAGAGGGAGAGAGAGAACGAGAGACAGATTTAGTAAGAATGGAAGAGAGATAATGTGAGATGTGTTGCCTTGCCTTCTCCAGTTTGTCGCGATGTTTAATCAGCAGCTCCTCGGTTGTCTTATAGGCCGCGGAGACAACGCTGCGCGCCTCGTGATCAATAATGCTGTCCATGGCACGGGAGAAGGGCTTGGAGCTGCCGCTAGCGCCGCCGCCGCCAGATTCGTTCGCATCGCGCACATAGATCGGTCCCAGCTTCTCGTTCATGCCAAATTTCTTAATCTGCGAATAGGCTATCTTGGTGACCTTCTCCAAATCGTTTTGGGCACCAGTCGTAATGCGCTTGAAGACCAAGTTCTCGGCTGCCCGTCCGCCCAGTGCCATGCACATCTTATCGAATAGCTCCTCCTTGGAGTATAAATGCTGCTCGCTGGGCGTGTATTGGGCAAAGCCCAGGGCCAAGCTAGTGCGCGGCACAATTGTCACCTTCAGCAAGATATCCGAATTGGGCAGCATCCAGCCAACCAGAGCGTGTCCACTCTCATGATACGCGATCACCTTGCGTTCGGTGAGCGACAAAGCATGCGAACGCTTCTCGGTGCCACCTGAAACACAACAACAGATTAGTTAATCCGCTCATACACAGTGAAAGAGAGAGAGAGAGAGAGAGAGAGCCTGGAATTCTCGGCACGCACCCACTAAACGCTCGACGGCGTATTCAAGATTTTTGCTAGTGACCTCTGCTTGAACGTTGCGCGCCGCATGCAATGCCGCCTCGTTGCACACATTCGCAATGTCGGCGCCCGAGAAGCCGGGCGTGAGGCGTGCCAAACGTTGTGAATAGGTGCTGGGCGGCTCGGCCAGTTTGATGCCCGACAAGTGCTTCTCGAATATCTCTTTGCGCTCCTGCAGCGTTGGCAGATCAATAAGTATGTGACGATCGAAGCGACCGGGTCGAAGCAAAGCCTGCACACAGAGAGGAACGGAATCAATTAAGAAAAAAGCTTGAACGAGCCTCATCTCCATCCATCTCCTACCTTATCGAGTATGTCTGCTCGGTTGGTGCTGGCCAGCATCAGTACACCCTCTTTGGTGGCCATGCCGTCCATTTCGACTAGGAGTTGGTTTAGTGTCTGCTCGGACTCCCCAGAGCTACCTTGGCCGATGCTTTCGGTGCCGGAACGCTGGCGTCCGATGGCATCGATTTCGTCTATGTAAATGATGCAGGGTGCACGCTTTTTGCCTTCCTTGAACAGATCACGGACGCGTGCGGCGCCCAAGCCGCCAATCATTTCAATGAACTCGGATCCGTTCATGCTGAGGAATGGCACCTGCGCCTCGGTGGCCACCGCCTTGGCCAGCAGCGTCTTGCCACAGCCCGGTGGACCCAGCAAGAGGGCGCCGCGTGGCACCTTGGCGCCCAGTCGCTGATACTTTTCGGGCGTCTTCAGATAATCCACAAACTCCTTGACCTCCTGCTTGGCTTCACTGAGACCGGCCACGTCGCGAAACAGTACGCCACGGCCACCGTCAAAGGGATCGACTAGCGTGAACTTGGCCCTGCCCATTTGATTCTAGGGAATACACAATTGAAAATCAATCAATCAAGCGATAGGACATCGAGGCACTGTATCGAAGATTACTAACGAATGAATCCATACTGAGGGGGCTCTTCATGCTCTTCATACGCGTCGCTATGGACATGAGCAGGGCGCAAAAGAGTAACAGCATTAGGATGCGACCCGTGGTATCTGTTTGCCGGTCATAGGTGACCGGGACGCCGTCTGTGATGCCCAAGCGCTTCTCCACCATACGCAACTTCTCCTCGAATTTGTTAGCATCAGCCACAGCCATGTGAAATATGGTAGAGGCTACTTTGCGACCCTTAATCACAGCACCGTCGTGCAGAATAATCGTAACCATTTCCATATCCGGGCGTATGATCAGTTCTTTGACCTCGCCCACGGCTAGCATATGGTGAACAAACTCATTCCAGGAGACGTAGCGTGTGGAGCCCTCCGGTCGTTCGCTGCGCGGCGTTATAAGCAACGAGATGAACGCCACAAACATATATATGGTGAATAGCCATAGGACCGCCTTAGTTAATACCGATCGCATTTTCTCGTCGTTTTCATTGTTTTTGTTGTTATTTGGATTGGAGGCCTCGTCGCCGGGGCCGGGCCCGGTCGCAGAGCTCGGCCTGGAGTCTTCTTCTCTGCCCTTGACGCCATCCGCACTTCTTCCGCTGTTCTCCGGCTCAGTTGTTCTAGGGCCAGAGGCGGATTTATTGTCTGCCGTGTTGCTGCTTTCTTTGGCGGAACGGGGCTTGTCTGCCTCTGTATCAGCCTTGCGTGAGCAAAAGCAACGCATATGGAGTTGCTGCACCTCACGTGGCGTCAATTGAAGCGAACGTGCAACTACACCTACAATTGCCTTGTACTCCGCCCGCAGCATTTGCATCTGTGAGATGACCGAAATGTACTCAATTGTGAGACAGTCTCGCATTGGGATGCACAACTCACCTGTCGCCAGCTCAATGGGTGCAGGGCGGGAGAATTCAGCTGCCTCTTAAGATTGCTGGGTAATCGTGTGTCGGTGCCCGCGGCTGCGGCGGCGGCAGCAATAGTAGCATCGCCATTTGGCTGGCCATTGTGTGTCACGTAGGTATGGCCGCGAGCCACATTGTAGGGTCCACGTTGCAGCACAGTTCTAACATGTCGTAAGCCTTTGAACATAATTCCTAGCCACTTGTATTATGGCTACTTGTGGCCGCCGGTTCGAATACGTAACTTTCAGTTGTTTGCTTGAAATTACATGCATTAGAGTTGCCACCCCTGCGCAAAAAGCGGCTGGCCTGTGACAGCACGCTCAATCAGCTGTTCGATGTTGTTAGGGGGGGCAATAAGTAAACTATTAATTTTTTTCATAAAGTTGTCATTTTGACAGCCACATCATTATAGTTCTGAATGTGGGAATCGGGATAACAAATACATTCAGATGCCCGAGGATTTATGCGAACGCTTTTTAGTGTTATCATATTTACTATCGAAAATTTTAAATTAACCCTTAAGTGGCCGCCAAGCCTAAGATGTCTATACGGCTGCTCGAAATGAAAAAATAAAAATAAAATAACCAAAAGCGTTAATCCTTAACATATTGTATACATATAAAATTTTCTTTTTATTCATATATGTATATATAAAAAAAATACATAATAATAATAATAATGCTATACAAAATTTCTTCGTACTACACAATAATAATGTCACTGAATCGAGTAGCTAATTTGTTAAGTGTTTTTGATCCTTTAAATTTGTTCACTGTTATTATTAATAATTACTATTCACTGAGCCATCAAATGGACCCATGCTATCGCCAAAGTCCTGCATTTCCTCGTCGATTTCATCATCAAAATCATCGCCCAATTCTTTCGTCTCTGGACATTGCCGACAACGGCTCTCATTAACACCATAGTTAATGCACGTAGAGCCTACACATTCACAGCAGCTATCGTGGAACCATCTAAAGAAAAATATATATATTTTACTAATGTAAAAACATAATAGGTTTAATAATTCGAGGATGGAATATAACTCACCTACAACTGCTGGCACCCATTGTTTGACAGAACTGACGGCATTTATTTAACGATACGCACTGATCCAAATATATAACCGTACAATTGACTGTCTTCGTATTGTCACGTTCCTCATGAGCCTCTTCCAGATTTTTGTCATTATATTCTTTAATAAGGATGAGAATAAGGATTTCTTAGTTATGTATATCTTTAAAGATTCCCTAGTCTACTCACTTAAATAGTATTTCTCATCTTTATCCAGTTTTGGTTTACCCCTAGACCAATCCACTTGGAATGTAAAGACATCCCAGTATTCTTCTGCAGTGGCCAGCACATCGAATAGTTCTGGAACGCCCTCAAAATCCTCAACGTGTGATTTTTTGGACAGGGCATTCCGCGTTTCATTTGGCTTGGGACACAGTTCTGGAAGTTAATAACAATTGTTAGCCATGGTGGTAATATAGGTGTTAAAGTGCAACTATGAATCTTATCGGCTTTCCAACAGCGGCTCAACTATCGATAATCATACAGTGAGCGATAGCCATAGTTACACATCTCAAAGAGCACAGACACACGCACATACATACATATACAAACAAGGCAAGTGCGACAACGCAATAATGAATAATGATAATGTCACACTAGATCACATCATCAGAAAAATATGTATGTATATGTAAACATGTAATTGATTGCAGATACTCACCCACACAACTGCAGCACTCCTCATAGTATTTGATGCCTAGGCATTTGAGGCACTCCTTGCAGCAGGAGCAATTCTTAAGCTCGCATTTGCAACTCTGTGTTAACATGCACTTGGACACTATCGATGCGCAGACGACTTCGTTGCACGACTCCACCACGCCATAGAAGCATGCAAATCCCAATGCTAAAAATGCGCCAACCGTTAGCAAGCGCCACACCTCCATTGTGATATATATGTTTTAAATATAATATTGCAAATACAAATGTTTTTCTTTAGTTTTGTTTATGATAATAAGGGCCCCCACACACTGTTTTCGTCGGGTGGGTGGCTTGGCGGTGTATTTGAATTGCACACAAGTAACACAAACAGAATGAGCAACAGAGAGAGATATAGACGGAAAACGCAAGCGACACAAGCCGATAGTTTAAAAGACTTTGATTGATCGAGAGTCAATCTCGACTGGCTGGCAAATCAATTGCAGCAAATAACAATAAATATATATATATATGTACACAGAATATAAATAAAAACAACACAACACAAGCAATTGTTAACTATTGCTACACATAGAGAACATTACGAATATATATGCATTTATTACTTATTTATGAATATATATATATTTGCTATTTGATAGATACATAGAAATCGGATTTTGTAGCGCGTTATTTTTTGTCGTATTTGCAGCACAAGGCACAAGAACAAGTTTTGGAATGAGCTATGAATATTTTACTAAATCATTGAATAAGTCAGTCACAGCGCGTAACAACAACAGCAAGCGGCGGCAACATCAGCAGCAGCGACAGTACCAGCAGCAGCAGCTACAGCAACAACAATAAACGACACCACGACAAACACTAACAAAACGAAACAGAAGACAAAACACACACAGCGATCACCGATCGACAGATGAGAGAGAGAGAAGCAAACGACGACAACGATGTCGATGCCGACGTCGACGTCGACGACAACGAGACGGCGTCAGCTATGTAGCTTGTTTTTGTTATTGACGCGACACAGCAGGGCATAACTGTCTTTATACTTTTGTTGTTGTCTCTCTCCTGTCTTTTTTCCCAGCCAGGCCCAGAGGCTAGTCAGCCAGTTAGTTAGCTAGATACAATGCGTGAATTAAGCGCCCGCGCAGACATATCACACACACGCATACACATGATCAAATGGAGGCTTGGAGAAACGTAAACACGTTACGAAGCATTGTTGGCGTGCGACGAGGGGAGAAGTTAGGGCGCGATTGCGAGCGCGAGTGCGTTCATTAACTGAATGATGGACTACCGCAACGAGATGTGAGGCAGCAACAACAACAACACCACAAACAAAACGGTCAATACACACATCAGCATTAAGATCCTAAAGGTATTTGATTGGAATGCTCTCAGCATCAAAGTGTGTCCATGTGTGTGTGCATGTATGCGCGCGTTATTTGCAATAGTGTGTAAGCCATGTTATCGACGTCGATTGCTTTGAAGCGGCATCATCGACATTTTCTCGAAGCTAATCGGATACATGTGTGACTTATTTTAGTAGGCATTTGATTATATGTGATAGGACAATGAAGCAAAACTGGCAAACACAAACAAACATAATATAAATACTTTCATTGAGCAGTAAATGCAATATCTAAATTTTTTTATTTTCGGTGTTTTCCAATTATCGGTATCGCTTCCAATAATTGCCAAAGACATTCTTAAGAGCTTAAACTAAGTCAAATAATAAATTTAAATAAGTAATAAATACTTGAATTAGCAAGTTCGTAAAAGGTTAGACCATTAAGTCTTGCAAATTTATCCATATGAGACAAAACAGCTGTTGAAACCAGCACGAAACGCTCTCATCTCTATTGGTCAATCGTGGATGACAAGAGTATTCGCAACATTTGGCAACCCTGTGTGAGCTAAATAGCAACAAAAATAATACCGCTGTCTGCAATCGCACGAAGTTACAAATCAAACACAGCTAAATGATTGTGTTTAGAAACTGTGCGGTGCTTCTGGTAATTGCATCAATATGCAGTTTTCTCTATGGCATTGCACACATATACATCGAGGTGGAGCCAAATGCCTGTCGAATGACTTATATGTTTGGTGAACCAAGATTTGCGGTAAGTTGTGATAAGGGAAACGCTTCAAATATCTGATAAGGATTAACTACCAAATCTGTTTTACAATTATGCAGCGCCTACAATTTAAAGCCAATAATCAATTTCCCAACTATGGCCTGTACTATTATTATGAAGGTGTGCGCCAACCTCTGGATCCTAATAAAATGCGTATGAATGGAGCTCCAGTTATCTTTGTGCCCGGCAATGCCGGGTCGTACAAGCAGGTACGCTCCATGGCATCGGTAGCATTGCGCAAGGCACGCGAACATCCCGGGCTAGGCATACATCTAGATTACTACACAATTGACTTCGATGAGGAGCTGTCGGCTCTCTATGGCGGCTACATGTACCATCAGCAGTCGTTTCTCAAATACTGCATTCGCACCATTGCTTCGCTCTATAGACACCCCAGCCCCATTGTGCTGATCGGCCATTCCATGGGCGGCAAGCTGGCCCAGTCCGTGCTAACCGATACAGACATCAGTCAGCATATTAATGCCATTATCAGCATATCGACACCACTCGATAATCCGGTCCTCAGCTTGGATGCACATCTGAGCCAATTCTATAAGGAAACACACGAGAAGCTGAGCTACACACGCACCGCCACCCAGCCGACAACCACGACAAACGTATGCCAGAGCATGCATCAGAGGCCGCTCAGCGAGCAGAGCATGGCCAACCAAGATCTATCCGCCAAGCTGGATAATGTCTTGCTCATTTCTACTGGTGGCGGCAATCGTGATCTGCTCGTGCAGGCCGGTCTGACCACTTCGCAGTTCAACGATCTACACGCCATGGTAAGAGATAATATCAAAGTTTTCAATGTACTCCCTGCTAAATTTATTACCCTCCACAGACCTCAGCTATACCACGCGTGAGCCTTAGCTGCGACCACTTGTCGGCTGTCTGGTGTCTGCAGTTCACGCTGGTCATCAATCGCTTCCTGTTCAACATTTCCCAGCGACGAGAAGACGGCTCAGTGTTTTTCAGCAACGACAAACAGCGCAACATGCAATCCGCATTGATGTACTTTGTGGTAAATGACAAGCCGGGCTTTTCATCTTGACCAATCCATTGAACGTATTCTGTATATTTTAGAAACCGAAGACACGTTATCACGGCTCGATCAACATACAAACCCACAATAATTGGCATGAAGAACGTCATCTAGTCATCAACAAGTTTTTCGCAAATGGCCTAAGAAATGATTATTATGAGCTGATTGGTTTAGGTCGTCAGCCACGTTATAAGGTTGCATCTAATTTAGTTTCACAACATCTCTAAATACTCTCTTCACAAAGCGCATAGAGAGCGTATTGCTTTTGCTTTCTGAACGTAGTATTGAGCTGTTGGCTAACATTAGCTAAAAATTCTTATTTGTTCTCTTTTTGGTGACTCTCTAGAAGCTTGCCATTGAGGCCGTAAACGTTGACAACGATGCGAATTGGCTATTCGGCTGTGAATCATACAAAGAAAATGCAACGGGGAAGAACTATTGGTGAGCGCGAGCAAACACATCCACACAAACAACTAATTCTCTCCCTCTCATTGCAGCGATAAGGCAACGTCGTTAACACATCTCGTTCAGCGTGTGCCCATTGTGGACGACGATCTGAGAAACATTGCAATTCTCGACTTGCACAATTTACGCCAAACCTTTAAGCAATGGACCCACTTGCTCGTGCGTTTGCCGGCGGGCAGTCAACGCACTGGCTACAATTTGGACATCTATGACCCCAAGGATCGCTTCCTAGACATACGCATGCCACGTTGGTATGCATCTGGACGGCGCATCGCTATCAATGAGACAGTACAAGGCAGCATACACTATCGCATGCGCATTGCCGATCTGGTCGAACCGTATCAGGGTCTGCGCGTTCACGTTGAGCCGCTTAAGTGTCTGAAGCCGAATTACCGTGTCACGGTCCGTGTGTGCGTGCCCTGGGCATCCGGCTTTGAGCGTTATCATACTCTGACGTAAGATTTCCCTACAACATTCCCCTAACGATAGACCAAAGCTAATCATTTGTATTTTCAGCTCCCCAAAGCAAAAACCTGGGCTTTACGTCAATGTGCCCACTTTGATGCCGCGACATTATAATACCACATTGAATCCCGTTTTGCTAGACTTTTACTTGGACCCCATATGCCGTTATCGCATTAGGTAAGTTGCATGTAGGAAAGGAACTTTTAAATAAAATCGATCTAAATTTCTGTCTAATATTGCAATTCGTTTTGGTTTGGAGTCATAGATTAGATATACCTCTATATATCTCTCTCATTTCCACTTGTGGCAACAACTCTTACTCACTCTCTCTCTCTCTGTCTATCAATCTATCTCTCTCTTAGCTATGAGTACTCCTATGCCGATGCCTTGTCACGTATTGTACTTGAGTTCTATGGCTGGCTACCAGCGCATTTCATATGCGTGCTGTTGATTGTGCTGCGCATGCAACTGGACCACTTCGAGGAGGCGGGCAGCTTGAAGAGCTTGAGACCCTACATTGGCTACCTGCAGTACACATCGCTCTATGTTGTAACAGGTAGCGTCAGCCACAGCCAAATGCCAAATGCTGTCCTTATCGCATTTACATTCTATTTGGAATTTCAGGCTGCCGTTTGTTCAAGAAGTTGATAATGAATATGAAGATATTGCCGATACCCGAGCAACTGGACTATAGTGTTAATGTCTCGATCATAATCCATTGCACCGCCATTGGGCTGTCGGTGGTGACCGCATTTGCTTTCTGGTTTTGTTTGACCCTCTTTGGAAATTCCCTTCAACGTTTGGCGTTGCGTTTGACACGCCTATCCACATCCGGCTCTAACATAATGCTCTCGATCATGACACATCTGCCGATCACGTATGGCATTCTGACAATTGGCGTTGCTTTGGGCGCATGCAGCGGCCTGGGCTTGCTTTTGGCCTTTATTTTCTATTTCCTGATGTTATCGAACGCCTACAAGGACTATGTGGAGGACTATCTGTGGCAAAAGGCAGCCAATTTAGTGCACAAGGCAGTGGGCATTGGCAAGAAATCGAATAGCAATAAGGACGATCAATCTGCAGCAGTAGCTAACACCTCGGACCAATCGCCCGTATCCAATGATGGCGATGATCAACAGAAATTGCTGAATCCCGACGAGAAACAAGCCAAAGATGAGCTGTGCGTTGGCCTACGCAACTTTTCCTTCCATGTAACTTTACTCCTGATGCTGTTGATACTCCTATTGCTTAATGTTCCGACCAGCTTGGCCTGGATACGCAGTCGCAAGTGAGTCTCCCACTCTCAATTTGTAATAATCTCGAGATATACATACTGATTCATCCATTTACAGGCATGGCGTTGTTCTACCCGATTCATCTATACGTACAACCATTGTGGCCCTTAGCTCTATTAGTTTGCTGCTGCAGATCCGTGCGCCTCAGAAGTTGTAAGTAATCAATAGATTCGAGATGAAATTTGAATTCAAATTCACTTTGCTTAAATGGGCAGCACTTTTCCGTTTTGTTTGCCATTTACAAATATTTCAAGCTCTTCATTTGTTAAATCGTTCCATCATTTCGTTCTAGACGTGGCAATTTGATACTATCCATCCTATTGTATGCGTGTGCTGGGATTAGTTTGCTCTATTGCCAAATGGCTATATATCGCCTGAACTTCATCATCGCTGGAGCATTCGCAGTGATCGCCATGCATCAAGCTCTGCAGAAATTATATGAAAGGCTGTTCCCCTCAGCCAAATAGAATTTATTTATTACAAAGACAACCGCACCCCCCGTCCCCCATACTCATAAGAACAATCAAACGAAAATTTCCAAGTTTAATAGGTGCAAAAAGTTCCTTGTATTTTTTACTTTTTAAGTTTCGGTTTGTGTTCCGACTCGATTTAGACATGTAAAAACGAAAGCGAAATTCCGAAGTATGTAGTAGACTTAGTTAACATTTGCCTGTAACCAAATAAGTGAGATCAAACACCGCCACACAAGCCATATCCCAAGGAGACGTCCATTTGGATATGCAACACAAGCACTGCAAATGGAGATGACGGGAAGTCCATAACGATCTGCTCCACAAATCTAACCTAAATGGATAAATGGATGCTGTGAACGACCCAAATCGATACAAATTAATAATACGAAGAAGACGACGAAGGAGAAGGAGAAAAAACAAGAAAAACAAAGAAAAGAAAACAAGCCAAAATTTTAACTCCATATTTATGGGATGTGTGAAAAATGCATTGCAAATGACACTAAGCTACATAATCGAGACTCGCGTATTTATCGTACCTTAATAACGAAATGAAATATGTTGACCAAATATTTAATTAGTTTATATTTTATGTGGGTTTAATTCTGTTATTTATATCATAAGATCTATGTATATAGATCTACGGGTCTGCAGATCTTTATACATATGTATATAGTATTTAATATGCTTACATAGCGCATTAGTCATAAAACTAGTATTGTTTATTTTATTTTATTTTAATTTTGTTATTTTTATTGTGTTATTTATTTTTTATTTACTTAAGTGTTTAGTCCAATTTCGTGTTCTCATTAAGTATTCGTAGTATAGTTCTAATATTTACGCAATGTATTATAATCTTCCTGTACTTAGGCCATAAATCACGTACGTACTCCTATATATATATATAGATTTATGTATATATAAATATATATATATTTGAAGACATGAGTAGAAATAAATATATTTATGATAATAATAGATCTATGGATCTATATCATAATTGTTAAATCTACAAAACTATTGTCAATTTAAAGCTGCTTCAACCGACTTCAGTTTCAATTTCAATTTGCATATCAAGTTGGATTCAATCATTTCTAAATCCATTTTAATTAGCTTCAAGCAATATGTAACTTCTTTTATTTTGAAATATTTAGCTTGAAATGAATATGAATTTGTTTGGTATTTGATATGATATTGAATTGAAATTGAAAGGAGCGAGATCCATTCTGATTGAAGCTATCTCTTATAATGCCCAGCCTGATTGAAGCTAGTCGATGTAAAGTCAAACGAAAGTCTGGTTATACTAGTTACCAGTTCTGTCTTCCTCAAGGCACATTACGAAAGAGTTGCAAGTGTGAAAGCAAACCCCAATGCTGTTGCACAGTGTAAATACCAACGATGCACCCGTATATGGTCAATCGTTGGCCTACAACTTTTTGCTTTCCTTCGTGTTGAGACATCAAGTGTCGCGTCCTCAGGCAAATGGCAGTCAATGGTGTCTGATGGAGTGGTACTTGTACTGCAATTGGAGCTGGGGAGCTGGGGAGCCGGGAATCGGCAGTGGCACACAGAAAGGGGCGTTCACCGCCCGTCACATAAACGGAGGCGTTGGCGATAAATGGTCAATTGCATGCATCGATTGGCCAACAATTTATTGAACGTGTGTGCAAATTGATTCGGGGCTCGAGACTCTGTCACCTTAAAAGCAATTAAGGCGCGCGTGTTTGCATTTTAACTGGCGAACTGGGTGTACGCTGTACAGCGCCTGGGGGAGATGCATTGATTGATCGATTGATAAATTGCTCAATTGACTAAAAATTTTTCTTTATTTATGGGCTTCATATGAATAGCTGTTGGCGATTCGCTGATGTGTTAACGGCTATTAAATGCACATTTTCTATGAATGCGATAATTGAAGAGAGAGAGAGAGAGAGAAAGAGAGAGAGAGAGAAGGCAAAAATAAAAGATGCAATTAGCTTGAGAAAAAGGATGGACTAATACGACTTAGACGAGAGAAAAAGTAAGAAACTAAGAGAGAGAGAGAGAGAGAGAGACAGAGAAAGCAAACAGAAGAGGGAGAAGGAGAAGAAGAGAGAGCAAGAATTATATTTAAGGAGAACTACGTTTGACTGAACAGGATAAACAAAGCAGTCAAAGAAAAATAGGGAATAAAAGAGAAAGGGAAAAGATTCATACAACGAGAGAGAGAGAAAGATAGGAAAGCGAGAGGAATGAAAGAGGATGAACTAGAAAGAGAATGAAAGAGAGAGAGAGAGCGACGGTGAGAAAAAGAAGGATACATATTAAAAGAAAGAGACAGAGAGAGAGAGAGAGAGAGCGACGGTGAGAAAAGAAGGATACATATTGAAAGAAAGAGAGAGAGAGAAAGAGAACTATGGTGGGAAAAAGAAGGATACATATTAAAAGCAAGAAAAATGGAGAATGGGTGAGGAACCCTTCCCTCATGGATAAAGAAATAGAGCTAACACGTTGTAATCGAAAAGAAGTTAGATAGGCAGTGATTGAGAAAGATAAATGAAAAGAGAGTGAAATGTAAAAACAGAGAGAGAGAAACATATATAAAATAATAGAGAGAGAAAGATTAGAGATGGTAGAGAGACAGAGAGAGCGAGAAAAAGAGAGCAATATGAGTGAAATGCAGAGAAATAGATAATTAGGAGTGTGAATGAAAAATAGAGAGATATAGGGCAAAAAAGAGATAGGGCAAAGCAGATTGACTGAATAAAAGACAGAATAATATTCTGAGAATATAGATGAGGAGAATTATAATAAATAGGGAACAAGATAAATTGCCAACCATCTTAGATAAAGAGCCTGTGAAAGGTTTACGAAGGCGACTCTAAGGACAATAATGCAATCATGTAGGGTACAGTTAGAGACAAGCCTTTAATATGACAATACCTGAGCCAAATCCAGGATTGAGCCAGAAAGAGTGAGAAAGAAAGGGAGAAAGAGCGAGAGACAGAGAAAGATGCAGATGGAGCAGTAAGTCTATACAGTCTATACAGATATATAGATTATTCCATAGAATAAATTCAGATAAGTAATAAATTTGTTTGGATAAGTCTTTGATAATATATTTATTCACATTTCAGGTATAACAACAACAAAAAAAAAAACAAAAAAAAAGAAGAAGACAAGACAACGCGTTCAACATTGAGCTATTTACACTTATATGGACACATATGATCGATTAAAGTATATATAGTGTGGCATATATATGGTATATATATATATATAGAGAGTGGAGTACTTGTATGTGGCGTACACATGGAGCACATGCATCCTTACTGCCAGTTGGTGGGCACGAACTGGACGGGATTGGCCAGGAAAGGCGGCGGCGGCAAGGCGTTGATGCTGTGCGGAATAGAGAGCAGGATTAGAGATCGATGGGGCAGTGCGGTGGCTGGGTACTCACCTCATGGGCTGGCTGGTCTCGGCGAGGATGGTGCGATAGGCGCGCGGACGTGGTGCCACATAGTTGGCGGAGGCAAAGCTGCGTGGATTGGCCACGGGGAAGCGTATATTCGTATTGGCCCGGACGCCAGTGCGTGGGCGTATGATGCGGCCCAAGCGAGCCTGAGCATCTGGGGCAGCCGATGCGCTCGCTGCAGCAGCAGCGCCACCACCGCCAGCAGCAGCAGCGCCGGCAACTGCGCCGCCCAATGTTGGCAGGCCAGGACCGAAGCCGAATCCGAGGCCTGCGCCGGCCACAGGCGCCGGAGCGGTGTACATGGCGGACAGCTGGATGGGCACGAAGGCGGGCAGCGAGACGGTCAGTGGCACAGCTGGCGGTGCTGGTGGTGCGGGTCCAGGTGCCGGTGCGGGTGCGGGTGCAGGTGCTTGCTCTGGCTCCGGCTCCGGTTCGGGCTCTGGCTCTGGTTCCGGCTCTGGCTCTGGCTCCGGTTCAGGCTCCGGCTCAGGCGCTGGCTTCGGCGTCGGCGTCGGCTTGGCGTCGGCCGCCTTCCAGGCAGCCAGGAGAGCGAGCACCTCATCCCGCGTTATGTGATTCGAGTGTGAGGGCAGCTCGAAGCTGGGCGCGCTGCTCCAGCCGCTGCTCCATGGACCTGGTGGCGGTGGACCGTACAGCGAACGCTGCGCCCGCCCAGGCAACACGAACTGAGCGCTGGCCAGGCCAACGAGGCCAACGAGGAGAAGGATGTGTAGACACATGTGATTGCACTTAAGTCCGAGCATGTTGATTACAGTTGAATGAGCGATGCTTGTCTGCGCGCCAATTGTCCAGACGCTGGCTTATATATGCCCAGCTACTCGAATTGGGTTAGATGAAGTCGTAGCTGGCTCCGGAAGCGGCTGCCTCAACTCTCGATCTCTCCCCCTGCGTCAATTGGCATTGGCATTTGGGCAACTGGTTCAAATGCCTGCGAATGATTAGGAAGCCAGCGAGAGAGACGCAATCAGCCTGCACCATTTAAGGCCGCATTGCATCACAAGCAGAGCAACCAGACAGCCAGACAGACAGACAGCCAGTCGGCCAGACAGCCAGTGAGCAGGCCAAACTGGTTGATCGTCTCGTCGTTCCATGTAGCGCAGTGTAGCATGTGTGTAGTCGCTTATTGTTTGCCCGCCTGGCAGTCCCAGCTCTTTTCATCCTCGTGAAACTGTATGAGCACCAGCTCGTAGGTGACTATGCTGCCAGCGACCTGGCGGCGGTTCAGATTACAAAAAAAAAAAATAAATAAATAAATACATATCAATTGAAAGACAAGAAGACGAAGAAAATTGTATTAATGGCGCTTGGATGGCGCAGGTGGCGCTCGAGTGGCGAGCGAACTCCACACTCACAGCCAGACAGAGCTTCCTGGTGACGTTGAAAAACCGGAGGCCGCTCAGCGACACATTATCGCTGGACAGCTCGTTGGCCAGGCGCTGGACCTCGCTCAGATAGCCCGACGGGGGCACCAGATGCAGCAGACGCAGCGGATCGCGCGCCCGCTCGTGCACCGCCGACACGAACAGCAGAACCGACAGCGAGCGGCCAATCAGAAATGCGAGCGAGAAGTAAAAGTAAACGGCGTGCATAGTCGATGGCATTTCGCTTAAGACAGAGCGAGAGAGGGCGAGAGGGAGAGAGAGATGGGGGTGGTGGCATGTGAAAGAAAGTGATAATTATTGTAAACACATAGTTATCAGATAGTTTGTATGCTAATCACTTGGACTTGGAATCAAGATTGGGTATGGGAAAACATTTACGTGTAGCTAGAGAAAGCAAACACATGAGAGGGAAGGCGAGAGGGGAGTCAGTGCGGGAAGGAGGGGGCTAGAAAGGGTAGGAGAGAATGAAAGAGATATATGAGAAAGCAAGAATGAATATATAAAGTCCACCGAGAAATAGACAGATAGAGAGAAAGAATAGATCCAAGAGGTGCAAGAGATAGATGAAAAGAGTGAAAGAGAGAGAGAGAGGAAAGAAATTATGGAGAGATGGTAAAAAGGATAGAATGAGACAAAGAAATAAAGAGAGATGAAAGATATAAGTTGCTAGAGAGAAGTAGAGACATAGACACACACAGGCAGAGATGGAGAGATTGAGAGACCGAGAGACATAGAAAGAGAAGAAGAGACGTAGATCCACAGAGTGAGAGAGGAAGGTACATAGACACAAAAACAGGGAGAGAAAGAAAGACTATGAGGAGAGGGATTGGCAAAGGTAGAGAGATAAATAGATGGTTGTAAAGGGAAATAAAGGAAGAGAGATATGTATGGATAGAGATAGAAAGATATATACGGGAAAGATTGCGAGAGAGAGAAAGAGTAAGAAGTGCGAAAACGATGAGAAAGAAATGATAATAATGAACGATGACAAAGATATGAGAATAATAGTGGAGAGAATAGTAAAAGCAGAAGAGAAAATGAATGGGGGCAGGAGCGAGAATGGTAAAACAAGACATGAGAAAAGACAAAGAAACTCAATTCGAGAGAACAGAGGGATGCAGCAATGTAAATTGAGAAATATTGATGCGAATATATGAAAGAAAAGGGAAGATAATCTAAGGACCTCGGGCTAAAGCTGAATGGCGAACACGCTAGACTTGAGCATGAAGTAAATGAGAGGAAATGCAAGTGGCACTCACTTGATGCTCTTCAGCAGCTGCAGACAAATGAAGTACACATTGGAGCCGAACGATATGAACATAATGCCGGAGATGGCATCGTCCATGTCGTAGATGAGCTCCACAATCGATCGATAGCGCGTGCGAACATATGTCCAGAACTTCTCGGGCATTGGCTGCAAATCCAATTGGGGCTAAGGATATGGCGCTCTATATAATGGTTGCGTCGGACTCACTCGCTCCACCAGCTGCTGCAGTTGACGTGTGAGTCGTGTGAGCAGGTGACTCAGGCCGATGCTCACGAGGATGACGAACAGGTCGATGTAATTCCAGCCAAAGGTGAGCAGCACATTCAGTAGTTTGCCCAGCCAGCCAAGCCAATTGCTATAGGGAAAGACATGAAAGAACTGGGCGGAAACCGCATAGAGGTACGACTCGACTGGATCCTGGCGCAGCGGGCAGACTTCATGATAAACAGACGAGATGATGCTCAACAGGTGCTCCACTGCAAGAAAAGAGAAGGAGATCCCAATGAATCGATAGCCACTTCACATTCTCGTTAACTCAACTGAGCGACAGCGAGAGCAGAATCGACGCCACGCTGTGTATGCGACGAGCCAGTTGCTCGCGTTCCTTCCAGCTGGCGTACGGCGGCAGGTGCTTCTCCACTCTCGCCCAGCGCCACATTAGCTGGGGCCATTGGTGAGCCAAATGCAGGAATTGGTAGCTGGCCCACAGGATGCTGCCATTGAAGACAATTGGCTCTGCAAGAAGGAAAGCAATTATCGCTGAGTTACCCTGTAAGCCGCTGCAGAAGGGGGTATCATATGATATAAACAATCTTATCATATAAAACTAACAGGCTGCTCATGTGCAGTTATGCAATGCTACCCACCCACACTGCGCATATCCAGACCGCCATGCAGCGCGAAATTGATAGCGAACAGCGCATCGAATGAGATGGCGCCAATGTAGAGCAGACTGTACCAGGTACGCCAGCTGCACCGGGTGAAGCATAGGCCGCGCTCCGTTGCCGCCCGCACGCCGCGGACGGGCATCAGACCAAAGCACTGGGCGATGACAAGCACTGTAAAATGGTGGGCGTGGACGGGTAAGGGGTCGGGCATGGGAATGGGACGCAATACATGAGAGATTTTCATTCAAAAAGGAAGCTGCAACGCTCACCTGGCGAGATGGCTGCATGAAAGCTGCCATCATGTAAATCATTCATGTTTGTTGCCTGCCACGCCCATCGCCGACGCTGACGCTGATGCCGCTCCAGACGTTTTAGCAAGGCGCGGCCGTGTTGTTGCAGTTGCTGTTGCCGCCGGCGACGTTGTTTGCTGATTTGAACATGCCACATGAATGCACGCGCCTTCCGTTTATTGCGGTACTTTGTCAGCGCTGGGACAATTTTCAAATTTTTGCATGTAGCGAGCGGGTGTGGGCGATCGTCCGATTGATTGCTATCGCAGTTAATTGTTATCGGCACGCGCTCGGCCCTAATGTGCTTTAAATTGCCAGCACTGTGGAACGATTCCGACAGGAAACGGAAAAGCTACAAATAATGCCAATTATTGTACGGCTGTACAGTGGCTTGCAAACTGTGCCATTTGTGAATAGCAAACTGAGTAAAAGCAATTAATCAAATTTAGAAAGAAATTTTGATGAGCTGTCAAACAACAAGCGACAAGATATTTTGAGTGATTGTTGATTAATTTGGTCCACAGTGCCTAAATGGCAAAATAATGTGAAATTAATTCGGGCTAAGAGATTATGGCGTGCCTAGTGCAAAAGGTAAGTGTGGTCGAAATGATCTATGATAGCCAAAGTGCCTGCCTCAAAATTCAAAAATTATAAGAAATTATTATTTTAGTCTATATGTTATATTATATACATAATATTTTCCCCAAATATATTTAATATATTTTTTCAATTTATTTTTTTTGCAAAATAAATGCTTTTTTTCTCAAAACTTAGGTACTTAATTTCGATTAGTGCAAAAATCAAACGCAATTTCCATGCATTAATTATATACATAAATATATATACTTATGTATATCTAATAAATAATTGTTGATTTTGTAATCTATGATGTGTATCTGAATTATGCGTCAAGTAAATCTCTGTGAGCTGATTAACTAATTATGTTTTAAGAGATCAAACAACGACAACAAAATGATGCCGAAAGTGGGTCGTGTAAATGATATATTGTCCAGATTCCGGGTTTCACTTTTTCTTAATAAAAATCTGGATCTCAAACACGATTTGGTCGCATAAATAAAAATGTGACTTTTGTCTTTTTTTTTTTTTTTTGAGCTGGATGCGGATGTTTGTTTAAAAACTATAACGGATCAACAGGCAAACGGGCAAACGGCTAAAGGCAAACTTGTTGCATCAACACTTTTAATAGATTCGATTAACTGGAAACGTGTTTAGAGCTGCGACACATATTCCAACCTGATATAAGTAAATGCATATGTATGTGTACATTGCTATATACTAATGGGTTTATCACTTAAGTAAGTGAAGTTGATTAAGTAAAGTTAGGAAAAGCTCAAATTGATTGATATGACTTGGAGCTATTGATTGAGTTTTGGACCTATTATAGATTAAGTGCGCTAGTTCCCATGACCAATAGAAATATTATATTTGCATTTATTATCATCCAATAATATTTAATTATTTTATTTTGTTTTTCCTAGTATTCAAATGGAAGTTGAAGTTGGTTTCTGTTTCCGGTGAACGTAATTCATTTCTTGACTTTCAAACTTTCATTTGACGTGCTTTCCAGCTGCAATTGGTTGTATTTATTTAATAACTTTGAAATTTGTGAGAAATAACTTTTTTGGGCGGTTAATATTTAAATATGAGCAGAAACTATCGGTTATTGTTGTTTTGTTGATTTTTTAGACAGCTGGTCACCCTACTGTTAATTATCGATCGCACCTTAAGTGCATAACAGTATCATTTGAGAACAACAGCAACAGCAGCTTAACATGAACTCCCCGCTACATCATTTGTTGTTGTTGCGCCGCTAGATTCGGACGTGTATGTTGTTTTTCTTCTACGCTTAAGGACCGAATTTCAAACCGAATTAACAAAATATCGAGCTTCGTTTGTTGACAACAAGTGGCA